AAGGCGGTTGAGGAGGAGATTGAGAAGAATGAGGGAGAAAGCAATAAAAATGAGGGTGTAGATAGTGAGAAAATAAAAGAGAAGAATGGAGTAAAGAAGGAGAAAAATAAAAAGAAGGGCAAGGAAGTCATTTCCACTGTTCCTATTAAAGACTTACCTTACCCTCATGCTCCTTCCAAGAAAGAAAAAGAAAGGCAGTTCCTGAGATTTCTGGATATCATTAAGAAGCTTCAGATAAATATTCCCTTCACTGAAGCCATGGAACAAATGCCCACTTATGCTCGATTCATGAAGGAATTATTAACTAAGAAGAGAATAATTCTTGAAGAAGAGACTGTGGAGCTTGAGGCAAGATGCAGTGCTACTATACAGAAGTCTCTACCTCAGAAGTCCAGAGATCCAGGCAGTTTCACTCTCCCTGTATCAATCGGTAATCTATCAGTGGGTAAGGCACTCTTAGACCTTGGAGCTAGTATTAACTTGATGCCTTTATCCATGCTGAAGAAGATAGGAGAAGTGGAAGTGAGACCTACAAGAATGACCTTGTAGTTGGCAGACAGATCCATCAAGATTCCACATGGTATAGTGGAAAATATGATCGTGAAGGTTGATAAGTTCATGTTTCTGGTTGATTTCGTAGTCATGGATATGGAAGAGGATGTAGAAGTTCCTTTGATATTGGGCAGATCCTTTATGAACACAACTCGAGTTATCATTGACATGGATGAAGGAAAGCTGAAGGTGAGGTTTTGGCCATACTCATTATTCCAGAACGGCCCATTTCAAAATTGATGTAAGTTTTTATTTATCAAATTTTCCAGCACAACTTGCTTTATTTTATTCACATCTTATTTCTTACTAATCAATGACTTAAAATTCTCTTATAATGTCTTAGGAATATGTTGATTATTTGAGTCAACATATTAATGAAGCTGGAAGGTTTGAATTGGATCTTTATTTAGATGAAGGGAATCTTGACCCAAAGTTTTTTGATAAGTTGGATGTATTGAGTTATTGGAGGGATCGTCGAGATCGTTATTCAAACTTATCTAAGATGGCTTGTGACGTGCTTAGCATTCCAATCACTACAGTTGCTAGTGAGTCTGCCTTTAGTCTTGGTTCTCGTGTGCTAACAAAATACCGTTCTTTCATTCTTTCGGAGAATGTTGAGGCACTCATTTTAACTCAAAATTGGTTGCATGATTTTGAATTAACAGGTAACATTTATTAGTATTATGAAATTAATTTAATAACTTATTACTTAATTTTTCATCATTATTAGTTAACATTTTTTTTAATTATAGATGGGGATAAAGAAGATGCTTCAATAGATGAATATATTTTGGATTGCTCCATTCAAGACTCTAATGTTATAGATGGACAAGTGACAACAATGATTTAATGTTAGATTGTAATTTTTAATTTTTATGATTTTGGATTGTATTTGAAGTTGAAGATGATTTTGGGTTATATTTGAAATTTGAGATGATTTTAAATTATATTTGTCTACATGAGATTATTTAGATTTTATTTTATTGTATTTAGAATTATCATTTAATTATGGATATCTTAATTAAGAGTTTCAGATTTTTAAAATACATTTGAGTTTTTTGGGCTTTAGTTGTATATTAAAAAAAATTACATTTTTTTAAATTAGGTGACCCAACCCGTTTAACCCACCAACCCGTGGTGGGCCGGGCCAGGTTACCCGTTTTGACAGCTCTACTCTCACCTAGTTGACTTGAAAGGATCAATATTTCATTTGGAAAGATGGGTCTGAACAGAGCTTTCAAGAGTTGAAGAAAAGGTTGACTACTTCTCATGTGTTGCTATTACCCAACACTAGTGAATCCTTCAATGTATTTTGTGAAACTTCTCATCAAGGGTTGGTTGTGTGTTAATGTAATCAAGGATAGTAGTTGCATATTTCGAGGTTCAGTGTCTTTAATGATCACAAGAGCTTGAAGTGCTTGTTTGATCAAAAAAGGCTTAACATTTGACAAAAATGGTCGATAGAGTTTCTAAAGGACGACTATGACTTCTAATTGATGTATCATCCTAAGAAGGTGAATGATGTAGTTGATGCTTTGAATCAGAAATCCATTCACATGTCGACATTGATGGTTAAAGAGTTAGAGTTGGTGGAGAAATTTATAGATCTAAATCTTGATGTGAAGTTGACTCAAGATCACATTAGTTGTTGAATGACTACCATAGTTAATGAGTTATTGAAACAAGTTAGAGTAAACAGTTGCAAGATCAAAAGTTGTTGAATATTTTGGGATTACTAAGCATGAAGAAGGCAAATGCTTTTAAGTTAGGAGGTGATGGGATTTTGAAATTCAAAGGTCAGATTTGTCTCCCTCGAGATTTTGAGCTGAGGAGAATTATTTTGGAGAAGGGGCATAAGAGTCATCTTAACATAGATCTTGGTATGACTAAGATATATAAAAACATTAAGAAGAATTTTTAAAAGCTAGATATGCTCTTGTATGGAGTCATGTCTGGGTTTTTAGCCCAAATAAATTAAAAATAAAAATTACACGAAATAAATTTAAAAAAAAAACTAATCACCAAAGTAGGTGATTTTTTACACGGAGGCAGATATGTGGCATAGAAAGCGCAGGGGGTAGGGCAGTTTTCAGATGGTGCCTCCCCCTCCTCAGCGCATTTAATGTTTGACGTGGCAAAGAAATACAAAACGCGGGGGGTGATGCGTTTTCCAGATGGTGCCTCCCCCCCTTCCCGGCACCTTCTTCAATTACACGACCCCAAAAGATGGTGCCTCCCCCACTAGGCCCCATCAATTTTATACGTACTTGGCGCCTCATCCCCAGGCGCCATCAATTTACAGCACG